GCAGGAATAAAGATAATTGACCATCCTACCATGCCCAACACACAGGTGGTGGCCATCCCTAAAAATGCTGATATCCAGAGCATCATAGAGGCACTGACAGCAAAAGGAAAAGAATGTGGCAACAATGGGCCCAACAAGTTCATTCTCATTAGCAGTGGGGGCACGTCCCGTTCAGCATGTCCAACACCATCGCAGCACGTCCCATCAGAGAAGAAGCCCAGTGCAGCAATCAAGGCTGCAGATGGTCAAGAAGGAGACAAGAATGTTACACAGACACCCAGTCTTGCAGAAAAGGCAGTGCTCTGGCATTTAGAAACTGATTCTGTGGTTGGACAGAAACAGGAGAGCAACAGTATGTAATCGTTAGCCTTTTTTTTCCTTTTTTTTTGTCTTGACAGATAGACAAAGAGATGTGTAGTGCTTGGATCTCAGTATGCTATGACAAAAACTGTTTCGCTAATTACAAAATAGCTATGGATTTGACTCTAATAATCTACATGGCTATGCATATGTAGTGAAATCTGAAGCATCTTAGCGGATTTATTTTTGGTCAAAGAGATGGCATACCAAGGTGTATAACGAAGCAAAATTCTAGTGCTGGGGAATAAAGAAGGGCTGGCTTGAGGAAATCAAGTCTAGAAGATCAAAAGACTGTTACATTTTGCAAAAGGGTTATGGCTGAATTCAAGGCTAACAGAGTGCTCTAGTCAGTGACAAAACATATGGGCCTAGAGCTTTGAAAAAAGAGATTATTCTCATCTTTTAATAACCAAGTGGCAGGCCTGTTTCCTCCTTGGCTCTTTCACAAAGCTGCTGAATAAATGTGAAAAGTGGGATGGTTTTTACTTTGAAACACTGCTCAGGTCTAATTTGTATTTGCAACTTAAAATAACTATGTAGCTTTTGGGCTGTAGTACAGTACTGTCTGACAGGAACCCATAGGCAGCTGCAATAGCTGCATTGCTACAACCAGCCTCACCAGAAATAACAGAAACACGTTAGCTTTCTTTGCCGCAGTTCAAAAACCTGGAGACATCTGAGCTTCTGACTTGGGTCTCGTGCTAGGTCTTTCAGCTGGAGTTTCTCACCACATTCCTTGGCCTCTGCTTACTAGATTCATCCTTTAGCTAAAATTAGTTGAATT